GACTAACAGAGACCCTCCTTTCTGATGGTCATCAGTAAGCCAGACTAACAGAGACCCTCCTTTCTGATGGTCATCAGTAAGCCAGACAAACAGAGACCGTCCTTTCTGAGGGTCATCAGTGAGCAAGACTAACAGAGACCCTCCTTCCTGAGGGTCATCCGTGAACCAGACTAACAGAGACCCCTTCCTGAGGGTCATCAGTGAGCCAGACTAACAGAGGCCCTTCTTCCTGAGGGTCATAAGTGAGCCAGACTAACAGAGACCCTCCTTCCTGATGGTCATCAGTAAGCCAGACTAACAGAGACCCTCTTTTCTGAGGGTCATCAGTGAGCCAGACTAACAGAGACCCTCGTTTCTGATGGTCATCAGTGAGCCAGACTAACAGAGACACTCATTCCTGAGGGCTATCAGTGAGCCAGACTAACAGAGACCCTCATTCCTGAGGGCTATCAGTGAGCCAGACTAACAGAGACCCTCCTTTCTGAGGGTCATCAGTGAGCCAAACTAACAGAGACCCTCCTTTCTGAGGGTCATCAGTGAGCCAGACTAACAGAGACCCTCCTTCCTGAGGGTCATCAGTAAGCCAAACTAACAGAGAACCTCCCTTCTGAGGGTCATCAGTGAGCCAGACTAACAGAGAACCTCGTTCCTGAGGGTCATCAGTGAGCCAGACTAACAGAGACCCTCGTTCCTGAGGGTCATCATTGAGCCAGGCTAACAGAGACCCTCGTTCCTGAGGGCCATCATTGAGACAGACTAACAGAGACCCTCATTCCTGAGGGCTATCAGTGAGCCAGACTAACAGAGACCCTCATTCCTGAGGGTCATCAGTGAGCCAGACTAACAGAGACCCTCATTCCTGAGGGCTTCAGTGAGCCAGACTAACAGAGACCCTCCTTCCTGAGGGTCATCAGTGAGCCAGACTAACAGAGACCCTCCTTCCTGAGGGTCATCAGTGAGCCAGACTAACAGAGACCATCCTTTCTGAGGGTTATCAGTGAGCCAGACTAACAGAGACCCTCCTTCCTGAGGGTCATCAGTGAGCCAGACTAACAGAGACCCTCCTTCCTGAGGGTCATCAGAGTCTCTGTTAAGGCTTCTACATTCTCCATCTGAAGCTGAACATTCGACGCACGGTCACGTGGTTCAGTGTTCATTTTCGCACAGCCCATTCAAAGTTCCTGAGACACACTGTGACGAGCTCCTGGGGAACCCCTCCCACTGTGGTATATGTCACTGCATGGAGTTTCTTCCGGCTGGGGTCTACTCTCCAGAAAAAAAACTCCAATCCACCATTATTTGTCTACAAATCTGTCCAGTTAATGCTCCTCAACGGACTCTTCCGTGCAAAGCGTCTTTTTTTTAATCTCCATTCATGAGTTTTTATCCGTTTGAGGATCTTTATAAATGTCTGCTTCTGGTTACAACAGTCACAGGAAGCGAGTCGTTGAAGGAAAATGCAGTGTCTGAGGGCTTTTAGCATAAACAAACGCCGTGAACTTCAGATCAATCACACAACGCTACACATAGAGCATGGCAAGAAACAGTTTGGCCAGGACCTTGTGTCAAGAAGAGGAGGTCCCGTCAACACTCCGAACAAAATGACGCAATTTTMGTCATTCAGCTGCAACAATGAGAGCCGATTTCAGCACTTCAGAGGGAGTCTGTCTCAAATACAGATGTTTTGGATGCCTGAAGGTGTCAATCAGAGTGGAAGTGACTGGGTATCAGGCTCAGTGCTACAATGTTTTTATAATTAGATATTTGGGACTAAAGTTAAAAGCAAATCACGAACTCATTATTCTGGCTTTTACCAAATACAGCGGGTAAAATAAGTATTGAACACGTCACCATTTTTCTCAGTACTAGAGGTACTAATGACATGAAATTTTCACCAGATGTTGGTAACAACCCAAGTGATCCATACATACAAAGAAATCAAACCATAAATGTCCAGAAATGAAGTTATTTGTAACT